CTTGAGTGATACTGTGATCTGTTGCGACATTCAGACTTGCACCGAGGAGGTTATGGATTCTGGTTGTCCTGCGTTTGCTCTGAAAGGTATTGCCCCGCGGAATGTTCATTTCGTCCCTGGTTATTATGCTTCCCAAATGGTTTCGTTCCCAATCACAATTCACAAGTAGCCACCAGTGGCGTAGTCAAGATTTCGTCTAAAGTGGGTCCGCTTAGAAAAAAATACACACACATGATAAAATAATTTTTGTTAACTTTGCTAGTCATTCATGATATAATCTTATATTGGTAAATTCTGATAAATTAAAATACATTAGTAGGCAAAACTATCAAGAATTCTTGATTTAGTTAGTCGTTCTCATTCGAATGTTGTTTTTTGTCAAGAACCGTTTAATATCAAGAATATCATTCTATGTACCAAACAACTATTAATGTTTTAGGTGGTCATTCTTTTTCGAATGGTGTTCTGTCAAGAACCATTTAGTATCAATAATTCGAGTTATTGAGAGAGTTTTAATAATGAAACTTATACCAAACAATAATTAATGATTTAGTTAGTCGTTCATTTTCGAATGATGTTCTTTGTCTAGAACCATTCCATATAAATAACTCGAGTTATCAAGAGATTTTCAATATATATCTTATATTGAAAGTTAGCTTATACAGAATTGAATTGTGCACAAATCTGAATATCGTGTGCTTAAGAAATAAGGTCGCCAAAATTCTAGCACAAGACTTTTCAATCAACTATTCTCAATTAGACACCTCCTAGTTTTCAATATTAATTCATTATTATAATTCATTTAACCATTTTCCTTTCGTGTTAAATTTTCCTTTCGATCGAGACCCACCCTCTCACACTCTCCCTCCGCCACTGCAAGTAGCTCATGCTTTGATATCGGATATTGGTAATGTAAGCAAGTCCGGATTAATTCCCTAAATACACATTAAACTAAACCAAATTCCTAAACTACTACAATTATAAAAAAAATTCCCAAAATACCTAAGTTTGGAGTGGTTCGAGTTTGAGGAACTCGAACTACTAACCGGTTCGAGTGTAGAAGACTCGATCTACACGTAAATCGATGATATAAGCCTCGAACCATGTGGGGCTGAAGTGGTTCGAGTTCAGTGAACTCGAACCACTACTTTGAAATTTCCAATCACCATAACTTTGTCCTCGGTTATCCGATCGTAGCAAACTTTTTTTTCATTTCGCATAACTTTTCGAGGACTACAACTTTTATAATAGAAATAGTTTCACATTTTCACATATATTGGAAATTTCAAAGTGCCCCACATGGTTCGAGGCTTATATCATCGATTTACGTGTAGATCGAGTCTTCTACACTCGAACCGGTTAGTAGTTCGAGTTCCTCAAACTCGAACCACTCCAAACTTAGGTATTTTGGGAATTTTTTTTATAAGTGTGGTAGTTTAGGAATTTGGTTTAGTTTAATGTGTATTTAGGGAATTAATCCAGCAAGTCCAAATAGCAGCAGGGTTTCTATTGGTTCAGTTTCAACAAGTTACCCATACTAGTAGTGCACATGCTTCTATTTGACAGTTTCAAATGACGGCTATTCTCTTCCTTTTTTATTAGAATAAGTAGGATTAAAAATGTAGTTTTTAAATGTAACATGGGTAGTTTATGTAATTTGTAGGGTAGGTATTGTAGTGGTAATTTGGTCAGACGTATAAAAGACAACTTTCAGTGTACAGATTTTACGTAACACATTTATGACAAAATACAGATGAATTTTCTCTTCCGCAATCTCTGAATCTAGCATGATACTAGAGCTTGGTATTAGAGTAAGGAGGATTAAAAATGTAATTTTAAATGTAACATGGGTAGTTTATGTAATTTGTAGTGTATGTACTATAGTGGTAATTTGGCCAGATGTATAAAAGACAACTTTCAGTGTACAGATTTTACTAAACACATTTATGACAAAATACAGATAAATTTTCTCTTCCGCAATCTCCGAATCTAGCATTTTTAGCAACAATCGAGAGTGAATATCACGTATATGCACAAATTAATGTCGTAAATCAGTTCCATGTGATCTCAATTATATTTTTTATTCTAGCGTTATTGGCAAAAAAAAAAACCCTCACCCGTAGGGCTGCAAATTAGTCGAGCTACTTTTTAGCGACTCGAGGCTCGACTCGAGAAAAACTCGTTCGATACTCAACTTGTTTACAAACAAGTCGAGCTTGAGCTAAGCCTTGCTCAGCTCGCGAAGCTAGCTCGACTCGATAGCTTGTGGAGCTGAACTCGTGAGCTGGCTCGTTTAGAGCTCATAAGATGTATTAACATTGTAGTTAGAGAGGCAACCTGTCTACCAACTTATCAACGAATTGATCTGCCTCTTATGATTTGAATTTGGATAATTCATAGGTTTGTTAAACTATATATTTGACCCTATATGGTGTTTGAGATGTTAAGTATTTGAGTAAATGTGTCTTTTAATTATGAAAAGAAAACATGTACCATAGATGGATTCAATACTATAAAATAATAAGATTTGGACAAGTTAATATTTATTAACTTAACAGTTTTATACTAAGAGTAGACCATGAGATTAGTTAATTATTCAAAAAAATATGAGATTAGTTAATGTTGAACGTTTGACTATTTTTTTCAAAATGATATCTATCACTTGTATCATACATAACATGCAAAATGAATGTATCAAACATGAATTAAGATTTTGGTAAACAAGTCTAGCTCGAGCTCGAATCGCCTCGGCTCGTTAAAAATGAACTCGAGCTCGAGCTCTACTCAATTATTAACGAGTCAAATTCAACCTGTGGTAAAACTCGGCTGGACTTGGCTCATTTGCAGCCCAACAATTCAGATCCCGGGAACGTGCCTTAGCCTCGTGGGTCAAAGTGCTGCAAAGAACACAACATGAATCGGTTGAGAATAGGCGCATCCGTTAAATAACTTCATTTCGTGGATCAAACCGCTATTATACATCTTATGAAAATTGGATTCGAACAAGTCGGAGCTTGATGGTCTGGGCCCATAGCTAGATGTGGCAAATGGATCGGATTCATGGAGTGGATTGGGGCGGGGGATCCATGGATCAAATGAATTGGTGATTCATGGATTGGATCAAGTGGATTGGTGGATTATCCATGGATCTAAATGACATCCTCAACCTTGGACCAATATGTAAAATGTGAAAAGTTTAGGTACTAAAATGTCATAATAAAAAATTTTAGGTACGAAAACGTAATTTTCCAATGATATTTTTCGTATAAAAAATTAAATTTTAGGTACCAAAATGTTTGTGCAGAAAGGACATTTTGGTCTTCACAATTATTTTTTTTATTCATTAAAAGGACATGTACTGGGATTCAAACCATGACCATTTTAAAGAAAAGCAAAGATCATAACCAATCACACTAAGTATATTTGTTGTATCTTTTTAAATTAAAAACATATAATAGTAGGGAGGAAAAAACCCTTCCCCTATTTCAAATTCCTGCTCCATGAGCGTTTGTAGGAAGGGTAGAATAGGGAGTGTCAATTTTTTTCTTTCCTCTGTGGAACGGGCCAACTTCCCGTACACATGCGGATTTAAACGGGTCTAGGAGTGTCAATTTTTTTCTTTGAGCCCTTTTATTTCTCCGTGGTGATAAAATATATATGAAAAGGCAAAAACAATACTTCTTTTTATTGCTAAAAATAAAAAATTTAACAATAAACTAATACAGGGTATCTAATGGGCTATAACCATAAAATAAAAGAGTTGAATGGGCCTGACCTACACGGGATTTTGCCATCAAGTAAAACAAATGAACATCATTGGTTTGACATTCTAAAACAAGCTATTTTCTCTGGCATAATATATATTATGCTATTAATTTATATCTTAGTGGCTAAAATATAATGTATTTTAAAGTTATTCAATGGTTCAACCTCGACCAACCCAATTAGTCCAATTTTTATCATTTCAAATATATATTATATAATTATTTGATATCATAATGATCAAATTATAGTGTATTTTATAGGGAATCGTTTGGTATTTGTTAGTAAAAAAACTAAACAGAAATATCTATTTGGTTATTTTAAACATTAAAACGATCCTAAACATTTCAATTCCTTTTGAATTTCTATGGTTTTATTCCCGAATAAGTGATGTGCAAATGGCGAATTGCAGTCATCTCTTTTCTTTCACTATTTTTTATTTTCAAATAGAAAGTTTAAAAGTAGAGAATAATTATAATTTGGCATGGCTCGGTCAAACAGGCTGAATTTCAAGTTTTGGCCCGTTTTGATAAAGTCTAATTTATAATCACATGGTTCCCTGATACCCGATAAAAATCTCAATCCAAACAAGTTTGGTAGGTGAGTCCGTATTTACCACCATTTTCTTGGGATACGACAACGTCGGTTCTTATCCCAAATCGTGTTGTTTGTTCTTGATTTCCTTAGATTTTATCATGGCCTGACAAAAACAAGAAAGCACAATGACGACAAGATGAAAGTTTTATAAAGCAAATTAATCGGCCAATGGGCCGAGTAAAAGCTACAACGATTGTGAGATGCTCATTTCCCGAAAACTGACGGGATAGGCGATTTTTTATTCAATTTTCTGGAATTTGATTTCTATAAAACTTACTCCACCTCATCATATTACCAGAAACAATATTGTTTCACAAGGTAACAGGTACTTGATTTTGGTTCACAAGGTAACAATATATGTCTCTTTCCTACTAAAATTCACTATTTTTATCATGTGTTATCAAAAAAATTTATACAACAATAATCTATACACCCCATTACATTATCAAATTTCGTACATCACCTTCCTCCGGCCAACTGGCCGGGGCCACACTAGTATTATTATAAATCTATCTACAATTCGAATATTTACAAGCTAACATATCCAGTTTCCCCCGCTGCGGAAAAAGAAAAAAAAACTACCTCTCCAGTTTCCCATTATGGCATGATCCCATCCCAAGTCCCAATTGCCCGAGACCAAAAGAAACCCTAGTTTTCTGACCATTTCGCATGAAGGCCATAGAGTAGACAGTCTCAATCTTGCCAAAACCCGTGAGTTCCTTGCATTTGATTTCTTTTCCTCATAGATTACTTTCGGTTTAATTTGTTTCCTTCTCAGGCTTCCATGATTGAAACTGTAATTATGTAGGTTGCTCTTCCAGTATAGAGCGATGAACACCGCCAGTAGATCTGGAGGAGTTCACCGTGACAGGTTTAGCCATCTCCCAGACTTCATCATTCATCAGATCCTTTCATTTCTCGACACCAAATCGGCCGTTCAAACCTGTGTGTTGTCCCGGGTGTGGCGATGTGCTTGGAAACATATCCCTGTCCTCGACCTCCATAGCGATTCGTTCCAAGATTACGACGCTTTCCAAAGGTATGTCGATGGGGTTTTGTCCCTCCGCTGCCCTCTTAGCGTCCACAAGATGGTTTTCGTGTCGAAAAGGCAGGACTACGACGATTCGGAACCTGAACTAGACGATGGGCAGTTTGCCAGGGTGATTGAGTATGTCTTGCGCCATGATATCAAACATTTGTCTTTCTATCTGGAGCATTGTTTGTATCCGGACAACTATTTTAGATTCTCGAATGTGTTTGGCAGCAGCTCAACTGCAAGGAACTGCAACCTGAGAACTCTAGAGCTAGGCGATTTCGCCCTCCAGAGCGGATTTCTATCTTTTGGTTTTCGGATGCTGACCACATTGCAATTGGAATCATGCGATCTGCGCTTTAATTGGGAGGAGGACATCGATCCGTTCTCTAACTTCCCCTGTCTCCAGAATTTGGTCATGAAACATATCAGCACCGACCTTGCTTACCGCGGCATGTGGGAAACGAGCTTCAAGATTTCTGGGATGGAATTGCTCAACCTGACGCTTGAAAATGTGGGGTTCTTTAAGCTCGAAGTATTTGCCCCGAAACTCAAGTTCTTCCGTTTCTGGGAAGATGAAACAGAAGAAGGATACGTCGAGGTGCTAGAGTTAAGTCTCCCTTCCCTTGATCATGCTGATATTTTCGCCTTTCCTGAGGAACAGGTGGAGCAGTATATGATCACCTTGTTCCAAGGTCTGCACAATGTAAAAACTCTGACGCTTCATTCCGAGACCATCAAGGTGCCGAGTTAATTTCTTCTATTATGCTAGGCATATGTTGGAATGCCATCGCACATTTTAAGCTGGTGGTTTCATCCATGTACAGGTACTGAATGGTTTGGATGAGTTCCTGGACAGGCAACCATCTCCCTTTACAAGATTGGAGCGTTTGAAGCTGCGGTGGAACGACATGCAGGACAAAGTGTCGAATTACTTTCTTAAAGGATCTGATGCGAAACCGATTGTGGAGTTTGTGCCGAGGTCCGAGGATAAAGCAAAATTGTGCCGGACCATTTTGGTATCTTTGTCCTTGATGAAGTATACCAATTTACCTCGTTATTGTTAGACAGTCATTGAGGTAGTCTCATCATTTCATTCTTATCTTCATGTGTTCGCTGTTGTTACATTGACCCCTACAGCAAGGAGCTTGGAGCTTCTAGCCTTTGATTCGAAAGGAATGTCACTTTCCATTGGAAAGGTCCATCCTTTCTTGTTATGACCTGAACCACTAGTATATTATTTGCTATGCTAATGGAAGTGTCCCAGAACGCGCAGGTAGGGTTATATTTCTATTGATATGTTCTTGTATTCAACAGCTTTGAAAGGCCGAATCATTCCTCCACAAGATATCAATCGTCTAATCTGTGGTCATGGATGTTGTTCTTTTAGTACAAAGTAGGTGAGAATATGAGGGTCATTCTTGCAGTTACAAAAATGATGATTTCCTTACAGAGCTTGTGGTATTTCCCTCGCTGCTTACTTTCTTTCCCACGCTTGATGATCAATTGAGTTTTCTGTGGACTTTTTCCCCTGTAATTGCTGTTTTCTCTTATTATTAAGCTCTTGATCAATTAGATCAAGCTGATACAACTTGCACAATAACCTGCAATATCAGTTTTGATCTGCAGCAGGTTACTAACAGATGTCTCCCAGTTGCTCCAAACATTCTATGACACTCTCTTTCCATACTACAACTCAAACCGGCACTATAAACTCCCTCCAATGCCACCATAAGCCCTCCGCTGTTGAACATTTTCCTTACCATACTCTTCCAGTCTGCTAGCCATCCTACATTTGGACCAAAGAGCAAGTGCATTAACAGAATAGATGGTCCGTAGTTTCATCTTCTCTAGTGCAGAGCACACAAAGCTCTGGCCTTTTGTGTTTATTTTGTAGGGTTTTTTTCCATTAAATGTGAGGGTGTGCAAAAGTTAGAAAAAATTATGGTTTAGAAATTCAATCGTACTGGTATGATCAGAAATACCAGATATTGATTTCTAAATGTTATGCGATTTTAACGGTATAAAACAGTTGAACCATGATTATCACGATTTTAATATAAAATATTATATCACTAAACCTTGGAAAAAATAGAAGTTGAGGGCTTGGTTGGCGAAAGCAGCAAACTGTGCATCCACGATAGGGATCTGCGGACCTCATCGCCCCTAAGGCAAACCAATTGAACGACGATGACCGGTGGAAGCTGTCCCACATGTAAGAAGAAGGCTCATCACCAGATCGACTGGTTCAGCGAACTCCCCGAACACATCCTCCGCCGCGTTCTCTCCTTCGTCGATTCCAAAACCGCCGTCCAAACGAGCCTCCTCTCCCGGCGTTGGAGATCCGTCTGGAAAGTCGTCCCCGCCCTCAATTTCGACTCAAAATCCTTCAACACCGACTCTAGCTTCCGTCGGTTCATCTCCGAAATCCTCTCACGCCGTTACGCCGCCGCAATCGACCAAATCAGTTTGGAAATCGGGCACCCTGAGGATGAAACTGATGACAGTGACGAAGATGATGACGATATTGACCTGCCGGTCGACGCCACCCTCTATCGGAAGCTCTCCAATTACGCGGCATCGCACGGTGGGATCCAACGCTTGCGCCTCGTCGATCATGGGAACGGAGATCTCTGGAATCATTTCGTCCGAAGCGGTTCCCCTGCTGCTTTCGGAGTGCTTGGCACTCTGCATCTGGAGGACTGCAACTGCAAGGCGTATTGTTTCCGCTCCCAGACACGGAGCCCCAGCCGCGGTCGGGTCGACCCGTTCGCGGGTTTCCCCAATCTGAGGGATCTAACCCTAATGGGATGCTCCTGGACGATTGATGGCGGCGACGAGGAGGATGATGTTTGTAATTACTCCTTCTGCTTGAGAGTCTCTGGGATCCAATTGCGGAATCTCAGAATGGAGGATTTCCACTCTCTGTGCAACGTAGAAATATTTGCACCGAATCTCGAGTCGTTCTACTATGCCGGTCAGTTGAGGCGGCTTGCGTTTGTTGAGTTGCAGCAAATGCTTTGCCTTGATCGGGCTTATGTCCGAATCTTGGGTTATCATACTCTCAATATTCCAGAGAATCGGGATTCTGATGAAGACGATGACTACCTTGTTCCGGTGGATGTTGCCGTCCAGCTGTTAAAAAAATTGTTCCAAGGATTGCACACTGCAAAAACACTTGAACTACATTTGGATACCTTCAAGGTAATCTGAAATCCAACTCAGTACACTCAATCGTAGGATTGTGATGAATTGGTTGTTAATTGCTTGAGCCATGGACTTGATTGGAAATTGTTTTGTGCATTTTGCTTATGGCTTATTTTGTGGTCGATGTTGTTGTTGCTGCTGCCGCCGCCTAGGTACTTGAAAGGATTCAGGAATCAATCGCATTCCGGACATCTCCTTTTACTCGATTGAAGACTCTGATCTTCAATGTAGAGTATAAGCAACAATCATTTGACATACCTTATATCGCAATACTTTCTGGGGAATTCATCCAACAAAGAAGTAAAGTCTACCAAGTTCAAGGTGGTATCTCCAAAAGTCCCGGTGAGTATCTCTTTCCCATTTGTTACGACTCATGAGTATATATTGATTAGATCAATAGAAACTAACTAAGCACCATCACTTTGATTATGACCTGATGGTTGATGATGTTCGTGGGAAAACGTCGTATCTTTCTACCTGTGCAGGTAACTCGTGCAGAGTGCTAGACTACTGAATGACAACATAGAGGAAGGAGCAGATTAAGTTGGGAGTGTCATATATGTTGTAATCACTTGCCTTGCCATGGACCCTACCTCTATATACAAGTTAGGAAAATGGCGAGGAGCGCAATGTTACCAGAAAAGGTGCCACTTCCTTTCTGTCAAAGACTTCAGTCGACATCACTTTCAGTTTCCGGCAACCGGCACTTCATTGAATAACAGTAAGGCTAGACATTGGACCCAAAACCCAAGATTGACCTCCTCCAGCAACCTTTACTGCCCTCAAGTGGACCATTGGCACATTGGGCTAAGATCAGGTGACTAGGGGGACCCTTAGTCATATAACTAAGTGAATCTCAGCCATTCCACCTCATTAAAATGACTCATATCAATCTTATTTAATGAAGGACAATATAGTAATTACAAGATTATTTAATGAAGAGAGAGAGATTATGATTTTTTGGAGTTTTTCAGCGGCGGCGGGAAGGATTTTCCGATGTTTGGGGATTTTTTTGCGAAAGTGGCAATTTGTTATGTTTGTCGGATTATTTTGTAATGTTTGTAAGTCTGGTTTGTAATTTTGTATTAATTTGGGTTGTATCGTTTATCATTCTAGTTTGTAATGTTTATATAACTAACTAGTTTTGTGCCCGCCCGATGGGCGGCGAGTGTTATCTGTTTGTACTTTTCTTTCTATTATTTGTTATATTTTTCAATGGTATCAGATTCCTAATTTTCCTAATTATTTATTATTGTTACCTATTATCACTGACTTATCTGATATGAGGGCCGCTACATTTACTCTATGTTTTAATGATGATCAACAATAAAGTTAAACAACGCTGTAACTTCATCACCGCTTAGACCAACAATTGTCAACTTCATAAGTTGTACATGGTTTAAGCTCGTGTACGCCACCTTACCGAACTCCTATAGAGTTGGTATTTAGACCAGTATTAACGAAGTTTGACACATGATGCTATACCATATTCTCTAATAAGTGAACCACGATCTCTAATTCTCTAATCCAAATCGTACGATTCATTTAATTAAAAATAATAACCACCGATTCTTATTTGTCAAAATATATTAACATACAAATAATATGTATGAATGAAGGTGCATATTACACCTCGAGTGTACGCTAGCCTTTTCCACCATTATATCAAAGTACAACAAAACTATTCGTCTATGCTTCTTACCTTCAACATTGTACGAATGATATCAAAGCAAATGTTAGTTATTGAGACACTTTGTCTTCACTTCACATTATCATCCAATATTAAATATGTGACTGACTGTAACTGGAATTGTGTGACCTAATACAAACATAAATGCGTTATGTTGTGCAGTCAATATAGTAACTGAATTTACAGGACATCGTCATGATATGATCCTGCATTGATTTTATAGGACACCGGTCCGGGTACATCCCACCCTGGTATACATGACATCGGTTAGGGTATGACCCGTAGTGGATTTATAGGACACCAGTCTAGGTACGATCTGTGGTGGTATGCATGACATCTACTATACTACTCGAGGAATGTATGACTTGGCAAATTAAGATGTAAAATGCAATGAACCTAACCATGCATGTGATTGAATCCTTGTATAAATATTACTTATGATGTGGTTAAGTGATGACTTTCTATGATGTGATATATGAAATGTGCATGTCGATGATGATGGTTTTCTATGGTGTTTTATACAATGATTTAAGATTGGATGATATGATGTTTTGCTATGTTGGGACAAGGGTTACATGGTAATGCCAGTATGATGTGATATTTGATGCATACATGTTTAAACATTGAGTTATCAAGAGGCTGGGTGATGGTCCTTATGTTGTGATGTATGAATTCTTTGAGTTTGAGATGATGAATGTGATATGGCATGTGGTGATGAATGGATGTTTATTTGACTGAATAAGATATAGCATATTGCATGTATCTTGACAGTTAAGTTAAGGCAGAAGGCCTGAGAGGTGGGTGACGGAAAACTGAATACTCAATGTTCTGCCATGGTCAATGGGAGGGACAATAAGTCATTTTGAACTATACTCTTAAAGGTAACGGAGAAGATATAGATCATTATCTTATGAGTAAGATTTTCCGGCCAGTGGCGTAGCCAGGATTTTACTTAAGGTGGGTCCGACATAAAAATAAAATTATATAAAATGAATGAAATGACCTATAACGTGTTTCATAGTATGTCGACATATTTTCGTTGGAAGGTGGATAATTCAATACTAAATTAGAAATTAGTAAGTTTATAATACATAATTAGGGACACAATTTTATATAAAGTCAATAGTTATTTATATAATATGCAAGGTTCATGTGTACCATAAAGTTTTCTACAATTTATTTGTAGATAAGTAAAACCAGTAAACATGAGGCAATAGGTTCCAGAGTTATTAATTGTGTACAAATATTGTTATATGTGTAATAATTTAGCAAGGATTGTAAATCCGTAGTAGTGGTTGTATTAAAAAAGTCAATAGTATGATATTTATGTTGAAACCATGGTTTAATCGTGATTCAACCATTTTATACTACTAAAAAACCGTCTACGATTTAAAATCCAATAGAAGGTTTTCTCGATCGAACCACTTATATAATACGATTTTACAAATACTATAATCTTGAGCCAAGGTGGATCCCGGGACCCACCTTGTTATGAGCTGGCTCCGCCACTTTGTCCGGCGAGTATAACTGGTTACTAAAAATAGTAATAGTAATATATGTATTAGGGTGTCATATTAAGTAAGTATTAAAATAGTTATTTACATATCAACCATCATATATCCAATAGTTTAAGATTCGTTGACAAATCTTTGCTTAACTTATGTGTTATTCATCTGAATATGACTCAAAGTTGCACATCTACACATGTATGAAAAAGAAAGAAATTTATGTCAAACAATAAAAAAGAAAAGAAAAGATATAATTACATTAGGAAAAAAGTAAAGACAATGTGTTTCATAATTGTGCATAGAAGAATATTTAATGACGTACGGAAAATGAAAAGAGAAAAAAGTCGGAATAACATAAAAAAAGATAATGATATCATTTTAATATGCGAGAAATGCCAAATTTAATCCTAAAAATGACAAATGCATTATGTATATGTACATGACTTTTTTTTAACTTCTTTCACCAATTGGTCACAAGCATATTTAAACCATATAACCATAATTCGGTTTTGAAAAATATACAAAAAAACATTTGTGACCATTGGTGTCTAGTGATATTCTTAAACACATGAAATTTTGTGTATATATCAATGTACCATATGACTTAACTATGTTGATATATTTCATATATTTGTAGTAAGTATTTTCTAACAAACTGCAACATATCTACATTGGTTCACATATTTATAGTAGTTCGTACAAATAAAATGTTAAATTCTTCGTGTTCTAGAATGTGGAAGAAGATTATTCTTTACTTTTTATTTTTTAATTTTAAAAGAAAATCACATGTCAAATTATGTAAAAGTTTATAATTGTGTACCAACTAAATTTATGCTTTTCGGATTTTTTTAATTATTTGTAAGAAATTATAAACAATTATGAAACATATTATAAAATAAAATAATTTATTTGTAGATGTTAATGATTTTCTTATCAATGATAAAAAATAGAATATAAAATTTTAACCGTGATAGCTATTCTATTGGTTAAAAATAGTTGTGATTAATTGCATGAAAGATATTTTATTCTATTGGTTAAAAATTTGAAATGATTACAGTTTGAGTTTGTAGGTTGCATGATTAAATCTTAGTTATGGTGATTGATATACATGTTTTGTTGTGGTTAATAGCATCTAATATACTTTATCCTAGTGGTTGAACATTTGAACTGATGATAGTTTCACCTCATAGGTCACAGGTTCAAATCTTGGTCATGATGATTGATATACATGTTTATTTAGTTTTATTTTAATGTAACTAATAACTTAAAATGGTAAAAATGACATGGAAAATTGTGGAGATTTCGTTGTCCTACGTGCCAAAAACTTGCTCCACAACGGCCATAATATAAGTTAAGATTTGTATATATTGTAATTTGTAATGTTTGTTTGTTTATTTTGTATACTTTGTATTTATTCGTTTGTAATCACAGTTTATCGATTTGTATTATAAGTAGTGGTATTTTGTATGGTTAGTATGATATGTGTTGTTTGTCGGGTTGTTTGTAATGTTTGTAAACTTTGTTATTTTTGTAATTGTTTATTGGTTACTTTTGTAATGTTTGTAAACTTTGTTATTTTTGTTAATTGTTTTTGTGATGTTTGTAATGTTTGTATACTTTAGCTTTGTATGCTTTGTATTATTGATTTGCATTTTAAGTAGTTGTAATTTGTACAGTTAGTATGTTTTGTATACAATGTTAGTATGATTTATATTACTACCACTTGCTTACTGATCTCATCACCACCGCCACCGGTGGGTACCTTAGGAAGCGCCGCAGGTGAATAAATTGTTTTGGCAATTAAAATGTTTTGGCAATCTGAGCAAACTGGTGGCCGGTACTTAATTTATTTTCTCTCCCCCTTGCTTTTATATTGGGTGGCTGGTGCAGGAATTCAGGCGAGGGTGGAAAGCAGTGGCGGCGGGTGTCATAGGGAGCCTGGAGCGGGGTTTGGGAGCGCCGACGGGGTGGGTAGCGGTGGCATCGCCGAGTCTCTCTCCACCGCCGTCAGTACCTCTCCCTCTATCTCTCCATCGCCACTGCCGCCTCTCTATCATCCCCCGTCGTCTCCGTTGCCCCCGTTTTTCGACCAATCCGCCTCTGGAGATGTTTCTCTCTCATCCATCACCGTCGTTGATATCACCTCTCCCTCCTCCACTGTCGTCCGCGCTTCCGCCATCTCTCTCCACCGCGCCACCTCTCTCTCTCCATCTTCGCAACCTCTCTCTCCTCCATCGGCGTTGCAATCTCTCTCCGTCTTCACCATCTCTCTTTGGACAACGCAACACAGGAGAAAGGAAGAGACGATTGGAGTGGAAACAAGAAAAATAATAAATAAAACAAAACGGAAAACAAGATTTAAATATTTTTTTAAATGCCAAAACTACCCTTCTGATTAATTACTAACCCTTCCTTCATCTGAACCATTAGATCTATCCATTCTAATCTACGAGCTTAGCGACTTGACTAAGCACCCCCTTAGTCACCTAATCCGGGCTCTTGACACATGTGCGTTGAGCTTGAGTAAGCCCAACCAACAGTGACTATATTTATCGGATGTCCCCGAAGGGACAACAGTGACTATATTTAACTCTCGTATAATAGTTTTTTTTTATTTAACAATAAAAACAATATTTTAATATGAATACTGCACCACTGTTAAGAAGGAAAGGAAAAAAATCCTTTTCCAAAGAGGAAACGGTTTTGAATTGCACAAACTATATAATGGCTTCAAAGGTACAATTCCCGCAACTTCTATCTATTTGCCTCGCACATACAGGCAATCCAGTCACCGCAGCAGAACATCATTGGTGTGAAGAGAAATTGAAACAACTAAACCCACGATGATCACCGGCGGCAGCAGCAGCTCCCACTGCCCTACATGTACCTGTAGGAAGAAAGCTCGGATAATTAATGACGATGACGACAGGTTCAGCGAACTTCCCGACCATCTCCTCCGCCGCATTCTCTACTTCCTCGACTCGAAACTCGCCGTACAAACTTGCGTCCTCTCCCGGCGGTGGAGATCCGTCTGGAAAGGCGTCCCTGCCCTCAATCTAGACACAAAGTCCTTCAACGACAGCGATGAATTCGACCAATTCGTCTACGGAATCATCTCACGCCGTCACGACTCCGCCCCGATCCACGAGATCAGCATCGAAAATGACACGAACAAATACGGCGGCAGAATCGAGTACGACATTAATGAGAGTTGTGGCGAGCTCTTTGCTTACGCGGCCTCCCACGGGATACAACGGTTGCGCGCCGTCGAGGATATCGAGGATGGATTTTCGCATTACGTGTACGACCAGGGATTCCTTCCCCTTGCACCTGGTTTCAGAATGCTCACTACTCTGCATCTGCAACGCACCAAGTTGTTTTGCCCGGAGCCACTGGTCGAACCGTTCTCCGGTTTCCCAAACCTGCGGGATCTAACCCTCAAGGATTGCTACTGGGCGAATGATGAGTGGGACGAGGAGCCTGCCATGTACTTGAGAATCTGCGGGAACCAATTGCTGAATCTCAGGATTGAAGGGTCAGATGATGTGTCCATGGTCGAAATATTCGCACCCAATCTCGAGTCCATATCTTACCGAACTTATTGGAGTCGCCCGGACTTTGGCGAGTTTGATCTACCTTCACTCGACCGTGTTTATGTCGGATGCTGGGTTTACTGCAGATTCACGGATGACTATCATTATCGTTTTGCGACGCGGTTAGTAAACTTGCTCCAACGACTGCACCGTGCAAGAACTCTTGTTCTGAATTCCGATACTGTCAAGGTAAATTTTGTGTTCACTATCAATGCAATTCACTTTCAAGTTTTATATGTTTTCTACTTATCGACGAAAGAACTTCAACAATTTCATTATAAACTTATCAATGTCGTCTAATTTGCTTCAATTCAATTGGAATCGCAATTAGGGTAACAACATAATTTTGGTTCTTGCAGCCTATTTTATCCTCACAGCATTGCGCAGTGGATGATTTGTTGAATTGTTCGAACGCTAATTGTTTTTTATTTAATTATTCAGGTGCTTGAAAGCTGTCCTAAATTGCTCGTCGGGCTTTCTCCATTTGCTCAACTGAGTACTTTAATCTTGGAGGTAGAACCATTTGACGTGTCTCAAATGAAATCATTCTTCTTTGGGAACCCCAAAAACAAGGGAAATAAGTCTACCAAGTTTAAAGATTCGTCTCTTGTCTAGCAAGTCTAATTCGCTATTACCAACTTGTTTCTTTTTGCTTATTTTTTTTTTGGAATATAAACACTATTCATATTGTTTTATCTTGTAGATATTCATAATACGAGTTGGTAGGTGTTTGTATTTTCAATATTATGTGATGACTCATTCAATTGTCCAATTATTTCAACTGTGTCTACCTTAATTAGAATTACGACCTAACTTTCTTCAAAAATCACAAAAATGCCTATTGAAATTCCAATCCCTAGGCGGTAGGGATGGCAATTTACCCACCCATTGGTAATTTTGCCCAAACCCAAGTAGACCCATTTATTATGGGTAGGGTTTGGGTGATGTGTGTATGGTTTTGGGGTTTGTATATGGGTTTGGGTTAGATATGGATATTATCTAAATGGGTATGGGTTGGATATGGATATCCATTTACTTGAGGGTGTTTTAAGTTTTAACTACACATACAAAAATTGGACCTATTTGTAAAACTTGATAAGTTTAGGCATCAAAATGTGAGGCCAAAAAATTTTAGGTATTAAAATGTAAATTTTCATCGATATTTTGAGGACTTATGTGCAAAAAAAATTTAGGTACTAAATATGTATAACTATTAAGGGTAGGTACCAAACTGTAATTTGCATTTGGGTATGGGTACAAACCCAAATCCATATGTTAAAAACCCAACCCAACCCAAGTAAATGGGTATGGGTACAAACCCATCAAGCTCTACCCATGTAACATCTATTTGGATTCCATACCCAACCCAATTGGGATGGATAGTAAAATACCCATGGATATGGGTAATATTGCCATCCCTACTAGGCGGTGTCAGAGATATGAAACCACAATTAAATTCAATACAAAATACTAATTTTAAATTTTTTGATACAAACTGTTGCACTGTTTTATAATGCTTATATGACAAATAAAAAGTGTACTACAATAGCTACGAGCACAAAATCGAAAATCTTATACTTCTGTTCTGCGAGTCCAACCGCAGACCTCAGATTGCTATATATGGTATTTAAACTTTGGATACGTTTTATTTTCGCTTTTATTATTGACTCTAAAATCTAGTCATAATTAAATCTAAGATCAATCTCACAACAATTAATGATTTTACTTTACAACTCTGCTGTCTAAGAAAAATATTTTCTTAAAGTTATACTCGTAATAGTTATTTCTCAGTTTACATTCACAACTTCATCATTAAATGCATTATTCATCATCGCATCAACTATTTTTCTATTAATAAAAAAAATTCTGATTTACTATCTCTTAAACTCTTACCAAATACATTTTCCCGAAGGGGAAAATTGTTGCTCCATTTCAAATTTCACGCAACGAGAGTGAAAATAGGAAGGAGATTTTGGCCTTCACAATTACTTTTTTTGTTCATTAAAAAGACACATACTGGGATTCAAACCATGACTACTTTAAAGAAAAGCAAGGATCATAACCAATTACACTAAGTACATTCGTTGTATCTTTTTAAATTAAAAACATATAATAGCAGAGAGGAAAGAATCCTTCCCCCATTTCAAATTCCGTGCTCCAGAGCGTTTGTAGGAAGGGTAGAATAGGGAGTGTCAATTTTTTCTTTTTTCTCTGTGGAACGGGCCAACTTACCGTACACATGCGGATTTAAACGGGTTCAAGATTGTAAATTTTTTTCTTTAAGCACTTTTATTTCTCCGTGGTGGGAAAAATATATATGAAAAGGCAAAAAAAATACTCCTTTTTATTGCTAAAAAGAAAAAAAATTAACAATAAACGAATGCATGGATCTAATGGGTTAACCCTAGCCATAAAATAAAAGAGTTGAATGGGCCTGACCTACACGGGATTTGTCTATCAAGTAAAGCAAATGAAAACCATAGGTTTGCCATTCTAAAACAAGCTACTTTCTCTAACATAATATATATTATGCTATTATTTTATATCTTAGTGGCTATAATATAATGTATTTTAAAGTTATTTAATTGTTCAACCTCGACCAACCCAATTAGACCAATTTTTATCATTTCAAATATATATTATGTAATTATTTGATATCATAATGATTAAATTATAGTGTATTATATAGGGAATTGTTTGGTATTTGTTAGTAGAAAAACTAAACAATAAGATCTATTTGGTTATTTTTAACCTTAAAACGATCCTAAACATTTTCAGTTTCCTTTCGAATATCTATGGTTTTATTCTCGAATCAGTGATGTGCAAATGGCGAATTACAGTCATCTCTTTTCTTTCACTATTTTTTATTTTCAAATAGAAAGTTTAAAAGTACAGAATAATTAGAGTTTGGCATGGGTCGGTAAAACAGGCTGAATTTCAAGTTTGGCCCGTTTTGATCAAGTCTAATTTACAATCACATGGTTCCCTGATACCCAATAAAAATCTCAATCCAAACCAGTTTGGCAGGTGAGTCCATGTTTACCACCATTTTCTAGAGATACAAGAACGGCGGTTCCTATCCCAAATCGTGTTGTCCGTTCTTGATTTCTTTAGATTTTATCATGACCTGGAAAAAACCAGAAAGCACAATGACACAAGATGAAAGTTTTATTAAGCAAATTAATCGGCCAACGGGCCGAGTAAAAGCTAACAACGATTGTGAGATGCCCATTTCTCGAAAACCGGCGGGATAGGAGATTTTTTATTCGATTTTCTGGAATTCGGTTTCTATAAAACTTACCCCACCTCATCATATATATTACCATAAACAATATTTTTTCACAAGGTAACAGGTATTTGATTTTGGTTCATAAAGCTGATTTTTGATTCGTTGCATCATTCATATCTCTTTCCTGCTAAAATTCACAATTTTTATCACGTGTTTACAAAAAAAAACTATACAACAATAAGCTATACACCCCATTACATTATCAAATTTCACACCTCACCTTCCTCCGGCCAACTGGCCGGGGCCACGCTAGTACAATTTAATAGCCAAAAATTTCATAAAAAACAAAATAATAGCCAAACTTTTCAAAAACAATTTAATAGCAAAACGTTAACTTTTCGTATGGTCAACTGTTAGTTGACTCTGACGTAACAGTAACTTTAACGAGGTGGAGATCTTTTGCTGATGTGGCAAGAAATCAAATATTTGACAATGCCACATAATTAATTATTAATCTTATGGAAAATAAAAAAAAACTAAAATAGTTTTTCTGCTGCCTAGGTACTTGAAAGGATTCAGGAATCAATCACATTCCGGACTTCTCTTTTTACTTGATTGAAGACTCTGATCTTCAATGTAGAGTATAAGCAACAATCATTTGACATGCCTTATCTTATATCGCAATACTTTCTCGGGAATTCATCCAACAAAGAAGTAATGTCTACCAAGTTCAAGGTGCTTTCTCCAAAGTCCCGGTGAGTATCTCTTTCCCATTTATTACGACTCATGAGTATTGATTAGATCAATCGAAACTAACTAAGCACCATTACTCTGATGATGACCTGATGGTTGACGATGTTCGTGGGAAAACGTCGTATCTTTCTACCTTATACTGGTGCAGGTAAGTCGCGCAGAGTGCTAGAATACCGAATGACAGCATGGGTGAAGGAGTGGGAGTGTCATATATGCTGTAATCACTGACCTTGTCATGCATGGACCCTGCCTCTATATACAAGTTAGGAACACGGCGAGGAATGCAATGTGAGAAGCACAGTGCACAACTGATCTCTTGATCCTTCTTACCTAGAAAGCATAAACACTATTACCCAGAAAAGGTGCCACTTCCTTTCTGTCCAAGACTTCAGTCGGCATCACTTTCAGCTTCCGGCAATCGGCACTTCATTGAATAACAGTAAATCTAGACATTGGGCCCAAAAGCACAAGATTGGCCTCCTCCATTGGCACATGTGCGTTGAGCTTGAGTAAGCCCAACCAACAGTGACTATGTTTAACTCTCATATCATAATTTTTATTATTTATTTAGCAATAAAAATCAATATTTTAATATGAATAATGCACCGCTGTTAAGAAGGAAAAAAAAATCCTTTTCCAAATAGGAAACGGTTTAGAATTGCACAAACTATATATTGGCTTCAAAGGTACAATTCCCGCAACTTCTATCTACTTGCCTCGCACATACTGGCAGTCACCGCAGCATAACATCATCGGTGGGAAGAGAAATTGAAGCAACTAAACCCACGATGATCACCAGCTGCAGCAGCTCTCACTGCCCTACCTGTACGTCTACGAAGAAAGCTCTGATAATTAATGACGATGACGACAGGTTCAGCGAACTTCCCGACCATCTCCTCCGCAGCATTCTCTCCCTCCTCGACTCGAAACTCGCCGTCCAAACTTGCGCCCTCTCCCCGCGGTGGAGATCCGTCTGGAAAGGCGTCCCTGCCCTCAATCTAGACACCAAGTCCTTCAACGACAGCGATGAATTCGACCAATTTGTCTCCGGAATCATCTCACGCCGTCACGACTCCGCCCCGATCCACGAGATCAGCATCGAAAACGACACGAACAAATACGGCGGCAGAATCGAGTACGACATTAATGAGAGTTGTGGCGAGCTCTTTGCTTACGCGGCCTCCCACGGGATACGACGGTTGCGCGCCGTGGAGGATTTCGGGGATGGATTTTCGCATTACGTGTACGACCAGGGATTCCTTCCCCTTGCACCTGGTTTCAGAATCCTCACTACTCTGCATCTGCAATGCACCAAGTTGTTTTGCCCGGCGCCACTGGTCGAACCGTTCTCCGGTTTCCCAAACCTGAGGGATCTAACCCTCAAGAACTGCTACTGGGCGATTGATGAGTGGGACGGGGACGGGGAGGGCCCTGACATCTGCTTGAGAATTTGCGGGAACCAATTGCTGAATCTCTGGATTGAGGTGTCCGACGTGTGTAAGGTCGAAATATTCGCACCCAATCTCGAGTCCTTCGTCTCTTACGAAACCTATTGGAGTCCGGACTTTGGGGAGTTCGATCTACCTTTCCTCGATCGTGTTTATGTTGGATTCAGGGCTTACGGATTCACGGA